CTTCGCTGCGGAAAGTACTAAATAAAACGAAAAAAATGGAGAAAGAATATTGGATTCTGTAGCATCGTTAATTCTCTCTAAATAAATTCGTTGTTCGTTTCATGTTTGCAATTGTGTTATTCGTTCTCGCGATTGTGAGTTCGATGAACGTAAGTTAAAATCACTTTCAGCGATTGGATAAAAGCCTGGGAATAAAGCACGTGATTCTATGGAAATTTGATTGAATCGTAACACTGTGTTGTAATTGGATAATTGTTTTTATGTGTTAAATATGTTTCCTTCCTTTGTACATGTTTGTAGTTTGAAAAATTCTTGTAATTTCGTTGTTCATTCCTCGTAGAAGTTATCACAGCAATGTCTCTCACACGGGCCGGATCTGAAAAGTAAATAATAAATTAATATTATCAAATTTAACACAAATATCTTCCTTTAACCCTCCGTATACTGTGCCGGAGTCGCACATAACGCACATAATGACGGGGCTGCGGGTATGTGAGATTCCCAATCAGAAGACGATCGCCTGTTTCCTGTAGACCCAGCGAAAAAGTAACAAACGACAATTCAGTCTTTCGTAGCGTTCCGCGGAAGACGTATGCGATATTTCTCTTCATAAGTGTAAGAAATGCGAGATTTCGGCGGCGAAGTGGTGGCCTGGACTTTGTCACCCAGGAAGAGAAAGCGCGCGGGTACCTGAGGGTGCCATAAACTAAGCCCTTTCCCCGGAAAGTCGAACGAGGGGGCTCGAACGGGATACGACGCGGAGAGGACACTCTGGAAATAGCCGTCGAGCGAGACGGACACCGGAGCACTTAGCAGTCGCTTTAATACATTTTCGGTTAATACCCTATCCTGCGTTAAATTTACTTAAGTTGTGCTAACATAAACTTCTTTCTCTTGATATTGTTCTCTTGCTTATATTGTAGAATAAATATCCTTTTTTTATAATTCACGATTTTTATTCTTTCGTATGCATGCGATAAAAATCCGAACGTAACCTAAAACCGATTCAGTAGTATCCATGAGAAACAAGGAGAAGAGCGAGGAGATCGTAAATATGGATTCGTACCATATCGGTGTGAGTCAGAAGTGACTCCGGCATAGGACTCCGCGGGTCAAAATGACCCATTAGCATCTTTCGAGAAAACGTGAATGTTCAATACTGGCAAGTGTTATCATTTGTAACTTTCCGAATTTATTTTCTACAGGTATGCTTCTATTTGTATCGATATGAATCGAATTTTCCAATTACGGTTTACTTACGTAAAAGTTCACTTTTGTAAAGTCGGTAATGTGGGAGTGGAAGTGAGAGCGAGGGCGAAGGAGAGAAAGAGAGGGCCGCATTGGCTGTGTGTGTGATCCGCGAAGCTAGCGCGATGGTTTCATGGGCAACCGGCTGATCGCTCGGTTTGCCAATACGTCACTAGGTCAGTGGTCGAAGCGTGTCGCGTGTGCACGTGTGTGTGTGTGTGTGCGTGGACAAACGAAGCTGGACATTTGAGGAACGATCAACAAGGAAACAGGCGAGGCGGAAAAAACAGGAAGGAAGGGGAGAGCGGTGAGACATGCGAAGCGGTGTGGATCTGGAGTGGTAGCATAAGAATAATTAATCTCTCTGAATAAATGATATAAAAGTTGGGCGCTGACTGAACACCACCATTCAATACCCATACTACAGTAATGTGTCATTCTTACTCGACTGGTAGTTCTTAGTGTTAAATATCAAGTCCCCAGTACAATCTCATTTCGTTGTTTCTAATTCAACCTCTCAGTCTTCGATCTTCTCGCCACTTTCGCATCTTACAAGATTTCACACCTAACCTAAAGTAGAGTAGAAATAAATCCCAGGCCGCCGCACGGTTGACAAATAGAATTCAAAATCCGGCATAATCAACGTCCTAACAAATTCCACCCTGTCCTCGAATCCCGTTACGAAGAATGGAGAAAGAAGGGAGGCGAAGAACCCTGCCTACCTCTCATCTCGTTACCCACTTCCGGTTGTCGCAGAGACACGCAGCCCCGTGCTTTATCGCCTCTTCGACTAATCTGCTGGGATTTTGAAGAGTCTCCCCTTCAGAAAAAATATTCCTTCCTCGCTAGGTATATAAAGGAAAGGAAAACAGAGAGGCGCAAAAAGGATTATCTACTTCCCTCGCAGTTCTCGAGATTCCCTTTCCGGAGCTACGAGACTATATATACTATAGGTACGTGTGTCGGTTGTTACAACGAGAGGAAATATTTACACGTCGGTGACTTGGTATGTCCAATTATCGTAGCATTTTATCTAACGCGCTTACTTTTCAACGATATGCAAACCGGCTCTATTAATTTTCCACCCGTGGTCGAGACACGCGGGGGAGAACGTCTGCATGCACACCCTTGAAATTTGCAACAACCGGGCAATTCGCGAATGAAAATTCAAATCTGCTGCATTATGGAACGCGTTTCAATTAATTTTTAATGGTGGATTACCAGCGGCAGCTGTTAGAACGCAGTCAACTTCTCACGAGAAGTCGAGAGTCTCTCGTTGACGGTATAAATAACCAGTGTATTAACGCACGGAGTGCGAACACCCGGGTCAAATGTAACCCAATATTAAAATCTCTTTCGTACGCAAGCGAAACCACATGTTTTTTATTTCACTAAGCATTATATCGTTTAAGATTACAGTAGGGCCCCCTGTAACGCGGGAAATATAATGCAAATTAAGTTCCACCGACGTTGCTTTTTGGCTCAAATTTAATTAACTCAAAATATTCCAAATTCAGAATTGGTTTTCTTTTTATCGTGTTATACGTATCTTACTGTATGCAAATATTTATGATTACAGTAAGAAACATCTTTATAACATAAAGAGAGCAGACCTGGGTCTACGGTGGCAGGTCAAAGGTTAACTTTTATCAGGTTACTCAGTCCTTAAGATTGTTACCACAAAGAATTAAAGAAATGTAAAATATGTCGTATTATTATTTACAGCGATAAACGAAGGTAACTGATGTATACAGCGAGATTATGAACGGAAGGATCACTTTTGACATGGTATCAAACTTCAACGACGTGAATTAAAGTTAGTAGACGGGGTAGCTAAAGCATGTCTACGGAAGTTTCTAATCTCCCCCAATTTAATCTTCCTCTATTAGTTTCGTTCAAAATAAGTCTTCCTTAAGAGTGAATGTGCATCAAGGAGCAATTAATACGATTAATAAATCAGCGATTAAAGTACTTTTCTCATTATTCAACTTTCTTCACATCATAATTGTGACGTTAAACAGCACCACTGTGTCAATGCACGCTAACAAACTAGCCAAGAAATTTGTCGCGAGCGTTCGACATTGTTCGGTTCTGAGCTCGCTGCGGTTCTGCCTTGACTTAACTATTCTGAACCTCGTTGAGAAGGTATATAGAGACTGTTCTTTTTTGACACTTAGTTGAACTTTAATTGTGATCTGATCTTGCGGGCGAGGGTGAGCTCGCTCTTTATACATTTTTCTGAGGTGGAAATTCAGCAATCAGGGTGCCTAAATGGTGGCGATAACCCTCTCCTTACGTCCGCAGCGCGTTTCGACATTTTTCTGAGGTGGAAATTCAGCAATCAGGGTGCCTAAATGGTGGCGACAACCCTCTCCTTACGTCCGCAGCGCGTTTCTTCGGAGAACGGGATGCCTGTGAACAGGCATTCGGGGGACCGAATTTGTTAACGCAAAATTATCAGCCCCGAAAGCGGTACCGTTTTATGACCAGAAAAACCAATGACGTTCGCGCAGCGCATGGTAGACCACGGGGATCTGATCGGCCGAAGTGAGGTTAGGCTAAAAGTGACTAATGATTTTTATGGCTATAATCCGCCAGACCGAGGCGAGCTCACGTGAATTCGCGTGCGACGCGACAAAATTACTAAACGATACTAACAAAGTGAGAAAGTAAAATCTCGTCAAATCCACAAGATTCACCATAAATCGAACTAAAAATAGTAACTGAATCTGCATTGTTAAACAATTACATAGTCAATTAAAAAGAAAAAGAACGTTCAATGGAATTGTCGTCATAATATTTACGTATCGTTTACTCCAAACGCATTGCAAATACTTCACTCAATTAAAAAAAGGACATCAACGATCTTCGTAGAGTGAATTAAACGGTAAACTGATTCTTCCGGAATTTCGCGTGCGCGAACTTCATTGCTCAGCAGTACATACTTACCATACGCAATGCACGCTACAAGTATGCATGGTTTTCAACGCAAAGCATTCCGCTACCGCGTTCCTTAGAGGTGCGCGAATTATCTCGAGTCTATTAATTAAGTGTGTACTCGAAAGCGGCGTTGTTCGCGCGTTTCAACCCCTTCCCCTGCTTCTCGATGCATTTCGCGAGAATGGACCGAACTGTCGAAAAAAACGCGTCACCCTCGAGCGGTTGATAGAAGAAAAGACGAGAGAAAGGCGCGAAACTGAAAATCTCGTCCGAGAGAGAGAGGGGCGGGATCGCGAATATCCAGCTAAATGTCGTGCCCGGTGTTTCGCTAATTACCAGCGCGACACACGAACGAGCTACTTCTAATTACGTGGCCCAGCTTAATGGGAAACCCTTAACGAGGGACAAAAGATTCGACCTGCGAATTTCGTACTGTACGCGGCCCCTGTAGCGTGAAACCATGTAAATAGCTCCGCGTTATCGCGTTCACCCTTTTCGCCGCTTATTTCTCCTTCGACTCGACCCCCTTATGGTTATTCCGTGAATTACAGTGACGGAGGGGTGGAGAAGCTTGTTTAACGCGGATCGAGGAATTAATCTTCCACTAATTTCGATCGCCATTTTTGAATCCTCCAATCGAGAAAGATTTTCACATCTTTCTACGATTTTTACAGAAGAAATTGGGAAAACAAGCGGAGACAAAAGGAAATATTGTACATTTTGTACCAAAAGAAGCATGTGATATTGAAGAATGATTGAATCGTAGGAAGGAATTATTCTGTAGACTGAAGACACGTTTTCCTACTTTACAGATGACGTTGCAGGTTTCCTGGGTCCGGCATAGGGATGTTCATCTGCTCACCATCGGCAGTTACACGTACACGAACGACCAGAGATTCAAGCCGATTCACAAAGCAAACACGGACGATTGGACGCTGGAAATCAAGTACCCACAGCAGCGGGATAGCGGTAACTACGAGTGCCAGGTCTCCACGACGCCGCACATGAGTCACATCGTTCATCTAGACGTGATCGGTGAGTCTGTTCTTCTTCTTTCCCTTTTCGGACGTTAGCAAAAGGTCGCAAAAAAATTAAATATCGCCAATTAACGAAAACTACATATCAAGAAATCTAGTATAAATAAACCATTCAGTGAAACTAATTAAATTGCACACAGTAGTAGCACTGAGAAGAATACTTCTTATCGAAAATTGTGAAAAATTGACAAAAATCTGAAAGTAAAGAAATAACAAAAAATTTTAAAAATAAACAGTAACGATTGGTCGTCCCATTTTAAATTTACTTCGAACACACAAACTCGCGATCGAAATCTGCCGCAGTAACGTTAATCTAAAAAGAAAATCTCGCGCGAGTGGCGAGGAAAATTCGAAGTAATACGCCGTTTATGAATAATGGAGGGGAAATCAGGGTCCTCGAAGAGCGATTCGTTTTCGCGATATATTTCGCGTGTAACAAGATGAATTTTGCATTTTGCCGCATTCCTGGCACGATGATATCCTCCCCGTGCGAGCGAGAGGGTTTTCGCGCAATTAGGTCGCACGACAGGTTGACGGTGCGCGCCTTGAAGGCGTATCATCGTCGGGGGCGATTCATTGTCGTTTTATTTTAATTAAGCGTTAGTACGTGGGAAACAGAGGGCTAATTACAACGCTCTACGCAACAATTAGTTAATTCTAATCTAAATCTGCCCCAGTTCCATGGCCATTGCGCGAAATTTAAGCCAAGCTTAAATCCTGGCGCGGTGCCAATTGAACACCTGGGATTGGTTGATACCGATTTCGAGTTAAGCCACGGCGTCGAACAAGGGTTTGATTACGCGAGATTACTTCCCCAACTTGGATCTCCACCGACCGGTTAAGCTCTGTTTTCTATTCCTCGCGAAATGGATACGAGTGCACACGAAACACGGTAATCGTTGACCCCGCTATCTTCTTAATCGGCATTTATACTCGAAGGAAAATCGTTTACACACGTGAAGCAGGTTATATTAAATGTTGGTCACTCGTGTTTCACTTGGTTGAAGCTAAAATGTACCATATATCTGAACTGTTTCGTTTAATTTTCAGACTGTATTGTATTAGCTCTGAAAGAGAGATATTTAAGTAGTACAGGTACGCGATAAGTCAGACCAAGTGAAAAATTGAGATTTTTCTCGAGTTCACTTTCTAATTATTTTTTTTCTTTTTCTGTGAGTATAGTATAGTTAATAGGAGATATTTTTGGTACAGAGAAAAGTTACGGGAGTGTATGTTGAAGCCAAAAAGTACTATATATCTGAATTACTTCGATTAGTTTTCAGGCTGTGCCGTATTAGCTCTTAAGAAGAGATATTTAAGTAGTACAGGTACGCGATAAGTCAGACCAAGTGAAGAATTAAGATTTTCTTTCATTCACTTTCTAATTATTTTTTTCTTTTTGTGTGAGTATAGCATAGTTAGTAGGAGATATTTTTGGTACAGAGAAAAGTTTCTAGAGTGTACCAAAATTGGTGTAACATGAAAGTAGAAATGTATGGTACATTTAATTTCTAGCTATTCCGAAACGGTATTACATTACACGGTATATCCGCAAGATATCTCAATTTCACCTCGTTTTGGCCGTCAGCTCCATAAAGTCTGAATAGTTATCTCGTTCTGCAATCTGCAATCAACATTGCGCAATCTACAAGAGAAAACGTTAGTGTCTACGAAACAGATGCCTCGCGTGGCAAACTTGCTTTACAGATGTGTGCTTGATTTACCTTGCCCAACGATGAAATACTAATAACTCGTTATCAAATACGCTCCTCTACAGCTGTTACCGCTACGATCTACAATTCTCCTTTCAATTAACAACTGAAATTCGTTCGTTGAGATTCCATGAAAAATCGAACGCTAATTGAAGAAAGAACCTCTTCGTCGCGATATTCTCCTAAACGAATTCTACACGGTAGCAATCTGCAATCTTCCTAAATATACTGTTCCTCTGCAGTAATAAACGTCCAAGAGGAGAAACGCTCGGATAATTTTTCATTTCGAACTTTCGTAGTGTCGCATTACAAAAGCAAGGTATCTCGTGGGACGTGAAAAGAAGAGAACTCTTCAAAGTCGTTCAACTTTTCCGACGAAAATTTCTCTCCGACGAGGGCAAATTGATTGAAACGACTGACGAGAGGAAAGAGACGAGCCAGTTGGACATTCGACTCGTCTCTCCTTCTCTCTCGATAAGTTAGAATCTTGGTCGTTCCGACCCTTCCGAATTTTCGCACCATGGATCCCAGGAAGAATCGTATTTTTTCTCTTCTATTTCTCGTGGACGAGGGTGAGCTCGCTCGACGACCGTACGGAGATCGTTTGTCATTTCCTGCTCCTCGGTCCTTTAAACGTAACGATTCTGAAAAAAAAGGGAGCACTTGGTGTGCTCGACTATGTAATTCTCCTCTTTCTCGCGTAATTACTCGCGTAAGTCGTCGATGGCGACTCGTGAAGAGCAAATCTCGCGAAGATGCGTCGATAAGAGGCTCCTGAAACTTTTACCAAGTGTGATAAATAGCGACGAGGTAGACTGTCTTCGAGTAACGAAGATTCTTTCCTATTTACTTCGTAATAAAATCGATTTCTTCGTCTTTACACCATCGACAGCGAAGTGTTTTTCGCGAAAATACGAGGAAGAAGAGAGAAGGAAGAGTGGAACGTTCTTTGTTTCAGAAGCTTTTGCTTCTTCGAGTATTACGTGTAGCAAGGAACGTAATACTGTGTCAAAAATTCTCAAGGAAGCTTATGAAACAGCTTACGTCCTGCGCAAGGAACGCAGGATTACGCTATCTGTTACGAAATTGTTACACCGCTGGTTGTTCGTGACAGGACTAGCTGCGGCTAAACATTTTCCCTGTAAAGGAATTTCCTTGCATAATCAGTATTCTTTGTTTAACTAAAGGTACGTTAATTTTATAAATTGATACGATCCTTTTTCTGTAGTTTAATAAAGAATATATTAATATCGCGTAGGTATTAACATGTTCGGAAGAAATTTCTAGTATTTTTACTCGTTGGTATTAGTACCTAAGGGAATTTTCTTGCGTAATCGATATTCTTTGCTTAACCAAAGGTATTTTAATTTTAGAAATTAAAACGATTATTTTTCTGCAGTTTAGTAAAGAAATGTGGGTAAATAACACGTGGTCGGAATTTTAATATAGATAGATACCAATACATTAGTGGAAATATTGTTTAACTGAATAACGCTCTCTTATGACTTCTCACTCTTTCTCAGTCTCTTTTTCTTTTCTCTCACGCTGCTCTTTAGTTTACTCTCCTATTCTCTACGACTCACTCCCCGCTTTGCCAAACTCAAGCCTTAAGAACATCAACCATAGACCACACCGACTCCCAGAATATCCCCCTATATACGAAACAAACACACGACATTCACGCCATCGTTCACACCACAACACGCTCGTAAAACCAAATCCACAAGAAAATATTAAAATCGTGTAGGTATCAACATGTTTGGAAGAAGTTCGTAGTATTTTTAAGTCTGAAATAATTGTAAAATACGAACGATAAAATTGGAGCGTTGTCAAAGGGAACTGGTAATCCTCTTAGAATCGTACATTATACAGTGTTGGAACAGTAGCAGGGCGTTGTCAATGGATACGCCATTATTTGTCAACATGAGCGTGGATGTCTTCAAAGACCTCTTTATCCGTCAAACGAAAACGCCATTATCCTTGATCGAAGCGGCACTTGACAAAGGGCGCGCGTATTTCCTTTGTGACCTCCCCTCGCCTTTACGCTCGATGCAATTGTTCGCCGAGGAATTTACATTTCAATTACGCGGCGCATTTGTTATCACGATGCCAGAAGCGATCGTCACGGCGCGTTATCAGCCGTCTTGGAAACGAAACAATCGCCTCTGGATCCGCGCGCGTTTCTCTTTCTTCGTGGCGTCGCGGTGCGAACTTTCCTATCCAACGTCGAGAAGAAAACAACGTTTTCTCTGTCTCTGTTCCCTTTCGCCCTTTAATAACGTCGTTCGAACGAGACGCGGAATGGGAAATTCAGGGAAAGGGGGTGGAAAAATATATACAAAGACGGAAAGCCGATAAGAAGCTCGGGAAGAAAAGGAGAACAGTAGGAACGGCGATGAAACGTCGCGTTAATGAAAAATAATGCCTGGATCCTTATTAGTGTTTTCATTAGCCTTTATTAGCGGCGCCAAGGGTGCGAGCCGACGTCGCCGCTCTACGTGACCGTATTAACGGTAAAAATATGAACAAAGGCATTACGCTTGTAAGCCGGAGTTACGTGTACACTGTAAAATTATCCCCCTGCTGAATGGTCCGGGTGAAAAATCCTGGGATTATCAACGCCACCCGTCGAGTTCACTCGTGACACTTGCAAATATTGGCGAGTTTAAAAAGGAGGGCGTATTTTTAAGGGTTGAGAACAGATCGATCCGTGCTATTGTGAGATTTATTTTGGATTTTTGATTGGGGTTCGAAAGATTGTATTTGAAATAATAATTATTAAGGAAAGTAAAGAAATAAAATGGAAACTAAATGTCTAGGTTAACTATGAACCACGTTGTTTCTACTGTGGATCTCCCTCGCATAATCTCTCTTTCCACACTTTCCACTCTATGTGAAAAAATCATATTGTTCTCAAATCTTGGAAGACACATTTTCCATCCTCTCCCGGACATTTGTACTCCCACAAGGCACATACAACTATTTAGGTTTTCTCTCGTGACCGTTAACCCTTTGACAGTCTAATGAAATTGCGATTTACGGTCGAACAAATTTAGATTTTACACGTATCTTCTTAAGGTACCTTGAAATACTTTAAAATACCTTGAAACACATAACCCTACGTCATAGTTGTGACAATAATATCTCGTCCCTTTCAAACTTTCCTCCTAAGAGTCTCTCTTGAATTAAACACTTAGATGTTTGACTCTCTGTCCAAATCTCACACGAGATAAACTGTCGAAGGGATAAAACTAACGAAACTAATTCGCGAGAAAGGCCTACTTTCTACTTACACTTTTATTCTCAAGAAACGAACAATCGAAGGAAAAAACGCTCGCGATCCTACGCTATTTTACCCTTTTCTCTCTTTTGCATAGGATCGTCGAGAATTGTCAGCGAGGACAAATTGCACCGATATCGAAAGATGAATTTTTAACAGATAGATATTCGCGGAGTCGTTTAAACGAAGGATTAGAGGAGATTTGACGATTGCTCGGAGAAAATGGGAAAATGGAGCACGTTTAGCCGCAGGGCTTGCTTTAATTCGCGAGGAAATCAGTAAATTGATTGCAGGTGGGTAAATATTGCCCGGTACTATCTTCAGGTAGATGGATTCGGAACTTTCGGTAGCGAAGCCAGTCCGCAAATATTGCCACTTCCTCGCCGTGTTCGGTGCTTATACAGGAAGTCGGGCTACCGTTTGCGCACCGTTATTGCCGTGGTGAACGTCTTTGCTGTGTCTTCGTGGTTTAAAACTGTGTGATCCGCTTCCGGAGAATTTGCTGGATTTCGTCGCAAAGTGATCTTGAGATTCCTTGAAAAACCACTCTCCAATCTCTGTTTTTGGCTCAGTGTCACTATTCTGAATAATTTCCCGAACTTCCTTTACAAGAAATTATTAGGTGCACAAATTAATTTGACACCTTTTTCACAATTTTCAATCTTCATTCACAGAAAATCAAACACAACTTCAATGTTCAAAATGGACGACCTTTTTACATTTATCAGGCAACTGACGAATTCCCTCTCCAGAAAAATACATCTCAAGACTTCGTGAAAAAGGGCACCGAATTAATTTGGACACCTAACACGTTAATCCGTACTTTATTATATTTTAAAAATTACGTAGT